CAAGCCTTGCAAAATCAAAACCTGCAACACTAGTCAAACACTGCTGCGACGATCTAGAACATCGCACCATTGCACCCCTACATTATATCATTGCTCCCCACACACTTGCACCATTGTACCCCCTACGTCGTGCCATTGTACCATCTACATTGCGCCGCTACACTCCCTACATCGTACCATTGTACCCCCTACATTGTACCATTGGACTCCCTACACCGTACCATTGTACCCTCTACATCGTACCATTGCACCCCCTACATGGTACCATTGTGCCCCCTATATCGTACCATTGTACCCCCTACGGCGTACCATTGTATATACCCCCTGCATCGTACCATCATTTATCATACCATTGCACCCCCTACATCGTACCAGTGCACCCGCTATATCGTACCATTGCGCCCTCACATCGTACCATTGCACCCGCTACATCGTACCATTGTACCGCCTACATCGCGCCATTGTACCTGCATCACCGTACCACTGCGCTGTCTTCACTGCACCATCGCACCTGCACTTCGGACCCCCGTACCTGCGTCTCGTACCCCTTGACAATCATCGCACCTACCTCGAGACTACCTCTCAGAGCAGTTCTTTTGAAAATTGATAACTCTTAGTTTATCACCAAAGGAAGTTTGAAAGTCTAACTTCCGTGTTACGGATCTTTGGAAGCCATTGAATCCCACAGAAAAAAGTTTCACAGCAAAGAGATTTCACAGCAAAGAGGCCTCACAGCAAAGAGATCTCACAGCAAAGAGATCTCACAGCAAAGAGATCTCACAGCAAAGAGGTCCTGCAGCAAAGAAGTCTCACAGCAAAGAGATCGCATAGCACAGGATCTCACAGCAAAGAGATCTCACAGCAAAGAGATCTCACAGCAAAGCGAGCTCACAGCAAAGAAGTCTCAGAGCAAAGAGTTCTCACAGCAAAGAAGTCTCACAGGAAAGAGATCTCATAGCAAAGAGATCGCATAGCAAAGAAGCCTCACAGCAAAGAGATCTATCAGCAAAGAGATCTCACAGCAAAGAGATCACACCGCAAAGAAGTCTCAGAGCAAAGAGTTCTCACAGCAAAGTCTCACAGGAAAGAGATCTCATAGCAAAGAGATCGCATAGCAAAGAGGCCTCACAGCAAAGAGATCTCACAGCAAAGAGATCACACAGCAAAGAGGTCTCACAGCAAAGAAATCTCACAGCACAGAGATCTCATAGCAGAGAAGTCTCACAGAAAAGAATCTCACAGCAAAGAAGTCTCACAGCAAAGAGGTCTCACAGCGAAGATATCTCACAGGAAAGAGATCCCATAGCAAAGAAATCTCATAGAAAAGAGATCTCATAGCAAAGAAGTCTCACAGCAAAGAAGTCTCGCAGCAAAGAAGTCTCAAAACAAAGAAGGCCCATAGCAAAGAGATCTCAAAGCAACCACATCTCAAAGCAACCACATCTCACAGCAAGGAAGTCCCACAGAAGGAAGTCTCGCACGAAAACTTCAGTTTCACAACTTCAACCGTCAGTTTTGGGAAGTCTCGCAGGAAAGCTTCGCTAGCGCGTCTTCAACTTTCAGTTTTTGAGGGAAGTCTCGCACGAAAGCTTCGTTGTCACGTCTTCAAATTTCAGTTTTTGAGGGAAATCTCGCACGAAAGCTTCGTTGTCAATTCTTCAATTTTCAGTTTTGAGGGAAATCTCGCACAAAAGCTTCGTTTTCACATCTTCAATTCAGACTTTGAGGGACGTCTCGCAAGAAAGCTTTGTTTTCACATCTTCAACTTTCACTGAGGGACGTCTCGCGAAAGCTTTGTGCCTTCACATCTTCCACTCTCACTTTTTGAGGGAAGTCTTGCACGAAATGCGGGTTTGATAGTTAGCGGATGCACGAAATGCTGTGTTTTGCATGAGAAAACGTATCTCGGAAGATGGACTCTCAAAATTTGAGGTCAGTCTCGCACGAAAGCTTCGTTTTCACACCGTCAACTTCTCAGATTTTGAGGGACATCTCGCACGAAAGCTTCGTTTTCACATCTTCAACTTTCATTTTATGAAGGAAGTCTCGCACGAAAGCTTCGATTTCACATCTTCCACTTCTTTTTTTAAGGCAAGCCTCGCACGAAAGCTATGCTTTCACATCTTCAACTTTCAGCCTGGTGAGATCCTCTCTAAGAGGTCCTTGCATGAAGATCTTGCAGATGCCATGTGCTAGAGGTGCTTGTATATGAAAGCTCTTCTGATCTTGCGGGAGGCTCTTGGGAGGTTCTTGTATCAAGATCTTGTAAGGCTCCAGCAGCACCAGGTCCTTTTCGGTCCTTTTTTTGACGATTTTGCGAGATTCTCTTAGGGGTGCTGGCATGAATATCTTGGTCAAGATCTTGAGAAGATCTTGTGGAGATCCAAGTGAAATGCTGTCAGAAGCCTTTGCATGATCTTGTACAGGGTCATTGTTCCATAGCTACTGTTGCTTGTATCTTGTACATTGACTTCCTACCCCTCACACTATTTGTGGTCTCTTGCCAGTGTAATTTCCTCTCTGTCCTTTGGCCTCTTTTCCAGCCTTCAGGGTTTCAGTCTCTCTTGGTAAGAGGGGGCGGGCTTGTTTCCATGGCACTTTTGGCCATTGCAGCCTTTGTCTTTGGTCTTTGGGCTGTCTCATCTTCTTCCTCCTCTGCAGCGATTTCCAGCGTTGCAGGGAAACCATCGGAACCCATTGTGACATCAGTCATTCCTTTTTTGATTTTTTTTTTCCCCCACCTGCCGGGTGAAGGCCTCTAGATTTTATCAGAGTTACTTCTGCCTCCTCTCGCCTCTTCTTCTCTCCGAATTCCAGATCTCAGTGTGCACTGTCGGGCCCCAACTGCAAGTGCCAGATCTCAGCGGGCACTGCCCGGCCTCAAACGCGAGCTCCGCCGACCTCAGCTCCAGATCGCAGTGAGTGGGCGCTCTTCCTGGAACCGCAAGCGCCAGATCTCAGTGGGCACTGCCAGGCTTCACCCGCGAGCTTCAGATTTGAGTGGGAAATGCTGGGCACCGCGCGAGCACCAGATCTCAGTGCGAACTTCCCGGCCAACTGCGAGCTCCGGATGACTTCAACCGCGAGCATCAGATTTGAGTGGGAATGCCGGATCTCTGGGCACTGCTGGGCCTCAACCGCGAGCGCCAGATCTCAGTGGGCACTGCCAGGCTTCACCCGCGAGCTTCAGATTTGAGTGGGAAATGCTGGGCTCTGCTTGAGCACCAGATCTCAGCGCGCACTTCCCGACCAACTGCAGGCTCCGGATCTCAGTGGCACTGCCTGGACCTCAACCGCAAGCATCAGATTTGACGCCAGCAGCAGCACTGCGGACCTCAACTGCGAGCTCCGGATCTCACTGTGCATTGCCAGTCCGCTGAGATCTGGCGCTCGCTGGTCCGGCACTGCCCAGCTAATAGATGCCAGATTGTATTTCCAGATGAGATGTCAGAAACTATGACAAAAGACAAAATAATTTGGCACCGTGGGGATCGCTCGAAGTAGAGTGAAGTAAAGTATTTTTTGGTGCACTGTTGCCTGCGCCTGCTGCTCCTTTTCTTTTTATGAAAACTATGAACCCTTTTTCAAGGCCCTAACCCTTTTGCGGGGGTTGATGTACTTCTTTTCCAGGACCTTGCAAAAACCAAACAGTCAAGTTCACCTTGAGCCATGCAGCTGCAGTGCATGCACAAGTTTCTATAGCGTATTTGCTTTTGCAAAGTTTGGACAGACACGCTAGCTAGACCCCCAAGCTGCCACTGCCAGCCAAGATTTTTTTCGCCTCTTTGGTGCCAAAGAAACAAGGCTCCAAAGCTGCATATCTACTATTTGTTTCCTTTTGCAGGGCACCCATAGCTGCACATGCATTTGAAACCTTTTGCTACGAGGCTCAGCTTGTCCACTGCCTTTTGTTTACTGGGCACCAGTAAAAAAAAAACATTGGCGTCTTTAAAGGAAGTCCTCCAGTTTTTACACCTCCCTCCCCGCCCTTCCACACCTACATTCCTCTTCCACCGCCAGGCAGGGCATTGTGGGGTAGAGCATTGTATGTACTCGCAGTATTGCCGCGCCCTTGCCCATTTATTTGGGTGGCTTTATCAGCATATCTATGCAAGGTGCTGATGTCAACAGGCATTGCTGCTTTTCAGACCTCTTTTTGTAAGACCTTCCTTTTTGACACCGGAGCTTCTCAGAGCCTTGCAGGAATGAACACTTGTGCCAACACATGGCAGATCTGGGTCTGGGTTTAGGCAGAATGATGTTCTTCATGTTTTTGATGTGAAAGCCCCCAGGGGTAACTCTTTATTGAAATGCACTTATAATGAGAGGTTAACCGAAATGAAAGGGCAAAATGGCAAAAGCTTATATATATATTGGAATGAACGAACAAAAGTTACTGAAAGGACAAACTAAAAGGGTTTGAATATTTCAACAGAACATTGAATTTCAATAATGGCTACCCAAACCAATAATCGTATTGAATCTTTTCAATCAGGCACGTTCTGGGAAAGACCAAACCCAAAGAGAGCAGCCCGCGCGATGTTTTCACCAAATGGTTCAAAAAAGAAAAGGAAATCGCATGTTGACCGCCAACGTTCCTTGCGAAATCTTAAAAATAATAGTTCTCTTACCCAAACAAAGAACGCCGAAACCGGTTACGCAACTTAATTGATAAAGGCCAGATATAAAATGACTTACGTAACTTCATATAAACTTCCCTAGCTTTTGTATAAACTATCTAACTTCAACTTAATTTGTTTGTTTCACCTAGGCCAGGCCTTTTGGAGATGCGCAGATGTTGATATTCGGTTGAAACCTTCAGGCGATCATTGGGATGTTCTTCCAAGATGGATTGACCGGTTCTGCTTGGGGCGATTGGAGCCTGTACACTACCTCCCCTCTCCGTGCTGGCAGGGAACCTAGAATTGCCCGAAACTTCTTCGGGGGAGACTCCACTAGCTATGCCAGCTTCGACCCTGCGAAGGAACTTGGTGTGCAGGATCCTATCGGATTTTGGGACCCGCTTGGCTTGAGCGCGGACAAGGATGAGGCAACCTTCAAGCGCCGTCGTGCTGTGGAGATCAAGCACGGCCGCATTGTCAGGGTCTTGGTTTTTTGATGTTTTTTGACAAGATTATTGACGGGATGTTAAAAAGAGGGAAACATGAATCCATGGAGTGGAGCCGTGCAAAGACGATCATTTCGTCAAGGTGGCGCGCTCCCGTTTCAATGTGCTTCCGATTTCAGTCATGTCGCGCAGATTTGCCTGAGGCCATGTATGCAACCATTGGTTACATCGTTCCGGAATACTACAAGTTCCCAGGATACCTTTCACCATCTCTTGGGCTTAAGTTTGCCGATGTGCCAAATGGCCTTGCAGCGTTGTCCAAGCCAAGTGCTTACTTGCAAGCTGCGCACGCGAAGAGTTTCCATATCAGTTTTGAGTTCCAGCATCTCTGCAGATGTAAAGAGCAGAATGGTTGGAGGTGATTTGTCATGTTGAGTTAATATACTAAGGCTGCCAGTGCTTGGCGGTGCCCAGATCATTGCCTTCGCTGGTTTGATTGAGACAACTGGGTTCTTCCAGGCAGCTTCCACCACGGATGGACGCGGCCCTCGTGACGGTCAGTTCAGCATGAAGGATTCCACTGAGACAGGCGAGCCAGGCAACTACGGCGTCGGATTTCCCACCTTTTTGGGCAAGGTTGAGGACCCTGAAGCGCGCAAGACCAAACTCGCTGCCGAGTTGGCCAATGGACGACTTGCAATGATGGCCCCTTAGTAGCGCTTGGACTCCAGCGTGCAGAGGGTTCAAGGAATGTTGGAAATAGGAGGAGACAAGACTGTTGAGCATTCTTTGCCGATGCCAAGTGATTTTAACAGTTGAGTTCGGGCATTCGTCTGTCAGTGTTGAGTTCATCCAAGGTGTTTTCCCCCTAGTTTCCAGCTGAATTATAAGTAGATCACTTAGGTTTTAGGTGCAGGTGGGGTGAGCTTGAGGTAAAAGTTTGGCAACCCATGACAAGATATATCTAAGATATCGATCATCAGTGATCAGTATAGTGCCGCACAAGGCGGTGGCGGAAGTTTCAAAGATAGGAAGCCTGTAGGAATCGTTGGGTTGTTGAGTTGCATGGGCGACAGAGTAAGCTGCTGACGGATCGACGGGCGGTTGGAGTGTCGGCCTTTGGAGTGCATGTAGTGCTCAGCGGATGCACGACCGCTGGACCTACGGACTGACTCACCGGATGTTCCAATGCATGCAGCGGTTGGCGGAAGCAGACCTACTGGCCGCAGACAGCATGGCTAACAGGGCCATCTGCCCTGCTATGGGTCTCTTTGTCCGGTTGATCTGCTCGATCTATCCATGTATTTGTCCATCTTTGCATCTGTCTATTTATCTACTGGTCTATCTATCTTGCCTATCTATCTCGTCAACCTATCCAATCAACCTATCCATCTATATCTAGCCAGCGTATCCAGTCAACCTACCCATCTATCTAGTCAACCCATCTTTCTTTCTTTCTATCTTTCTGTCGTCTATCTCTCCATCCATCTACCTATCCATCCATCCATCTATCTATCCATCTATCCATCTGTCCATCTATCCATATTTCTTTCTTTTTTCTGTCCATCCATCTCTCTGTCTACCTATCTTTTCCTAACCTATCTATCTATCTACCTATCTTTCTTTCTTTCTATCTTTCTTTCTTTCCATCCATCCATCCGTCTATCTGTCTGTCTGTCTGCCTGCCTGTCTGTCTGTCATGTGGTTATGTGTCTATGTGTCTATCTCTCCGTCCTTTCTTCCTGTCTCTTAGTTTATCATCAAAGGAAGCTTGAAAGTCTACCTCCCGTGTTACGGATCTTTGGAACCCAGTGAAGTCCCAAACCAAAAAAGGTTCACAGCAAAGAGATTTCACAGCAAAGAGATCTCCCAGCAAACAAATCTCACAGCAAAGGGATCTCATAGCAGAGAAGTCTCACAGAAAAGAATCTCACAGCAAAGAAGTCTCACAACAAAGAAGTCCCATAGCAAAGAGATCTCACAGCAACGATATCTCACAGCAAAGAGATCTCACAGCAAAGAAGTCCCACAGAAGGAAGTCTCGCACGAAAACTCTAGTTTCAGGACTTTATGGGACGTCTCGCAAGAAAGCTTTGTTTTCACATCATCCATTTTCACTTTTTGAGGGAAGTCTCGCACGAAATGCGAGTTTTAAAGTTAGCGGATGCACGAAACGCAGTGCTTTGCAGGACAAAACGTGTCTCGGAAGATGGATGGGCAAGGTCTGCCGCACGACGGTTGCGGAACACGTTCGGCTAGGGGCGGATCATGCTCGGGGAGGTCTCGCACGAAAGCTTCGTTTTCACATCTTCAACTTTCATTTTATGAAGGAAGTCTCGCACGAAAGCTTCGATTTCACATCTTCCACTTTCTTTTTTTAGGCAAGCCTCGCACGAAAGCTATGCTTTCACATCTTCAACTTTCAGCCTGGTGAGATCCTCTCTAAGAGGTCCTTGCATGAAGATCTTGCAGATGCCATGTGGTAGTTGGCAAGAGGGGGCGGGCTTGTTTCCATGGCACTTTTGGCCATTGCAGCCTTTGTCTTTGGTCTTTGGGCTGTCTCACCTTCTTCCTCCTCTGCAGCGATTTCCAGCGTTGCAGGGAAACCATCGGAACCCATTGTGGAATCAGTCATTCCTTTTTTGAACATGCTTTTTTCCCCCACCTGCCGGGTGAGGGCCTATCAGAGTTCCTTCCGCCTCCTCTCGCCTCTTATTCTCTCCAAACTCCAGATCTCAGTGCGCGCTGTCGGATCGCAACTGCCGGGCCTCAACTGCGAGCTCCGCCGACTTCAGCTCCAGATCGCA